CAGTTCATGACTGGGTGTCAACCTACGTGTGACATTGATGATCATTAGCACCTGTTTGGCATAATTGGCTGATCATACCATACACCTGACTATAATCTTACAAAATCCCTGACTTTGTGCAAGTGTACCTATGAGAATTGCTGCTGTTTTGAAGGCAAAGGGTGGGTCACACCAAATATTGATTTGATTTAGATTTTTCTTTTGTTCGCTCACTTTGCATTTTGAAAATTGACAGAAATAAACAATCATTATTTATATTTCTGAAAGCATTCTTTGTTTACAGCATTTTTCACACCTGCCTAAAACTTTTCCACAGTACTGTATGTCTCACCACCATGAAGAGGTTCTGCATTCTCCCAATACAATCTGTATTGTATTCTGTAAAATCCATATTCTATTTAAGGATCATATAATGTATAAGGCTCATATCATAACACAAGACTAATCAGGCAGATGGCATTCTAGTAACTTATTTTCAGGCAAATTTATTTAGAATACAGGAGTTAATAATATTGAAGATAAATCAAAGAAAAAGAATATAAAAATAACCAATCTGAATAGGTCTTGTTAAACACAAAGCATTATGGAATGCTCTTTAGAGCACTCCTGCTCTTTGATATATTCACTCACATCATCAGAATAAAATATGCATTCCTTTATAAAAAGGAGTATTTAATTAATGACCTTATTTCAGTTCATTCTACATAGACTATAACAAAATAAGACTTCAAATAAGGCTATCAATACTCAAACTTAGGAAACTGCCTTTTATTGAGTCAGACCACTGATTCTCCTAAGCTATATATTAAGAGTTCTCCACGATTCCAGGCAACGTTTTGGATATCAAGGACTGAAATAACCATTGGCTTACCTGAAGGGTCCTTTTCTGTGCGCTACGGGAGAGTCCAAGCAAGCAAGGGTTAAATTCTGTCCTTCTGCCCAATGGACTGGATTGAAATTCTTGACCACGCCTCCTGGTCTCCCGGTATCTTCAGTTTTTCAATGAAGGCATGGTCTCGAAAGGTAAGTCAATGTCAATGTTCCATCCTTCTAAACAATGTCCACAAATGAAAAGTAAGAACAACTCCGATGCAAAGGAGATAACTTCAGGGTGGGATTGGACTCTCCCGCAGCGCACGGAAAAGGATCCTTCAGGTAAGCCAATGGTCATTTTCCCGTACGCTGCTTGGAGAGTCCAAGCAAGGGACATACGCAAAGAAATGTCCAAGGGCGGGAACAACAAAGAGTAACAACACAACCCTAATGCGTCTCAGAAACAGCCTGCAGCACTCTCCTGCCAAAGGCCGCATCTACGGATGCAAATTTGTCCAGTTTGTAGTGTCTGACAAATAATGATGGGGACACCCAGATCGCCGCTTTGCAGATCTCTTCGACCGACGCCTGAGTGGCCCAGACCGCTATCGTGGCCGTGCTGTATGTGGAACGTGCCATCACTCGAGAAGGAAGGGGCCTGCCCTACTGTTCGTAGGCCAGGGAGATGCAAGCCTTGATCCATCTCCCAATGGTGGACAAGGTGACCTTTCGACCAACGAGATCCGTTGAAAAGCGACAAACAAGGCCTCCGACCGACAAAGGGGAGCCGTGCGTGTGATGTACCTCTTGACTGCCCTTCGAACAGCAAGAGAGTGCCAACAACGCTCCCTCCGGTCATGGGCAAAAGTCTGGGAGGACAACTTCCTGGGCATGGTGAAAATATGAATTAATTTTTGGTACAAACGATGGAGCGAGAAGGACAACTCTGGTACACAAATTGCACACCACAAATGGTACACAAATTGCCCCGGACCAATAGAACCACAATTTCCAAAATCCTGCGGGCTGAAGTAATGGCAACAAGGAAGGCAGTTTTAAGAGACAGGTGTCGTAAGGTCGCATGATGTAATAGCTCAAAGGGGGGGGGCAGTGAGAACCCTGAGCACAGTGGCAGGATCCCAGGAAGGAGAACAATGGACAACCTGGGGACTCAGGTTGGAGGCGCCACATAGGAAACTGCGTACTTCGGGGTGCCTGCTGAATGGCTGCCACAGGAGAGCACCATGTACAAGGCTGATACTTGGCGTCGTAAGGTGTTAGTGTCTAGACCCCTATCAAGGCCCTCCTGTAGAAAATCTAGGATTTGAGGGGGGGAAGCGGCTGTTAGTTGAAGATAGCGTGTCATACACCAGCTAGCAAAAGTGGTCCAGGTGGCATCATAGATCTGCAAGGTGGTGGCTCATCTGGAGGCTTGGATGGTGTTGATCACCTTGGTAGAATAGTTGGCTCTCCTCAGGAGGTCCCTCTCAAGTGCCATATGGTTGGCTTGAGCCACTGGGGCTCCAGATGCGTAAACACTCCCTGGCTGAGAGAGACCAATTCCTGAGGAATCTCCAGTGATGTGCGATGGACAGGCACGTCAGATCGGCAAACCAAGTCCGTCAGGGCCAGTATGGAGCCACCAAAAGAACCTCTGCCTGCTCCTCCAGAATCTTCCTGATCAGTCTGGGAATGAGCGCCAGTGGAGGAAAGGCGTAGAGCAGCCCCGGAGGCCAGGGGGATCGAAGGGCGTCGACTCTTTCTGCCCGGGGGCATTGGAATCTGGTGAAAAATTGGGAGAGCTGAGCGTTCTCCAGAGTAGTGAACAGGTCAGTCCGGGGATGACCGAACCTCTGAGATAATTGGTGAAAGAGGCGCGGATGGAGGCGCCACTCCGAGTTGTCTAGTCTGGTGCTGCTCAGCCAGTCCGCCTGGACGTTGTTCACTCTGGAGATGTGCTCCACCCGAATGGATTGTAGGTGACGTTCCACCCAACGACCAATCGCCTTCGCCTCCGTCATGAGGGACCGGGACCTGCTACCCCCTTGCCGATCAATGTGTGCCTTTGTTGCCACATTGTCGGTGAGGACAAGGACATGGTGATGTTGGATGCAGTGCTGGAACTTGTGAAGTGCTAGGCTGACAGCCCTCAGCTCCAACCAATTGATGTGCGAGAGATCGCGAGCTGACCACTATCCCTGAGCCACTATCATGTGCAAGTGAGCTCCCCAGCTGAAGATGCTGGCATTGGTTGTGACAGTCAGTCTGGGCGGTTCCTTGAAGTAAGTCCATTTCAGGAGGGCTGGTGAAAGCCACCACTGGAGAGAACGAATGACTTTGGTGGGTAGACGTACCTTGACCGGTGAATTGCTCTTTGCATTGGCAGGAGAAACCACTGCAGATCTCTCGTATGGAATCTCGCCCAAGAAACAATCGAGAGACACGAGATCATCTTCCCCAGCAATTGTGACTGGGTGACAGTGCGAGTGCTGGGGGAGAGGCGAACCTTTTGGACCAGTTCTTGGAGACTTTCGACGCGGTCCGGTGACAGGAAGACTTGGCAAGATGGTGTCTATCACGAACCCCAGGTGCCGAATCCTGGTGACTGGAGTCAGGTGGCTCTTTTCAAGGTTGAAGGTAAAACCGTGATTCTGCAACGTCCACATGGTGATGCGTAGATCTTATGTTGCTTGAGCCAGCGACAACGACTGAATCAAGATGTCGTCTAGTTAACACTGTAGGCAGATCTGTCGCGACCTTAGGTGGGCAGCGACAGGATCTTCGTAAATGTCCTTGGGGCTGACGACAGGCCGAATGGAAGAGCCCTATATTGAAAGTGGGTCCCAGCATAGAAGAATCTTAGGTAGCATCGGTGCTCGGGCCTGATGGGGATGTGGAGGTACACCTCCTTCAAGTCTATTGATGTTAGGAAGTCCATTTGACGAATGCAGCCCAAGATGAATTGGAGGGACTGCATTTTGAACTTTTTGTAGGCCACATAATGGTTCAACTCCTTTAAATCTAATATTGCTCTCCACCACCACCAATCCGAGCTGTGGGGCACTAGAAAAAGAGTGGAATAGAACCCACTGCGTTCTTGCTCCGGGGGGACCGTTTTTATAGCCCTGATCTTTTTGAGGTGATGGATCTCGGCCTTCATGAGACCCCTCTTGGTGGGGCATCTGGAAGTCAGGCAACGAATGAAGTGGCATGGAGGGGGGGAGAGGAATTCCAGTGTGAGGCCTATCCAAATCGTTTGGAGCCCCCAAGCATCCGAAGTAATCTCCTCCCACTGGGCGGCAAAGAGTTGGAGCCATGCCCCTATGGGAGGATTGGGATGGTGGTCACTTGTTCCAACAGAAGGGCTTGTTTCCAAACCCTCCCCAAAAAGGACGCCGGGAGTACGGCTGCTGATGGGCCCCGTCCCAAAATCACTGTCGATCCTGATTGCGATCAGTCTCTTGAGCGTAGGAACACTGAAAGGAGGTGTTGTTGTTTGGGGGATCAGCTAGGCAAGAAGCCTGCCTGCGGGAGGAGGAGGAGGAGGATGAACTGTGGTTCGATTGCCTGGAAACCGTGGGCATCGCCTTCCGCTTATCCTTGTTCTCAACTAAAACTGAGTCAAGGGCCTCCCCAAATAACTTGCCCCCTTTAAGGGGAGCGGAAGTAATCTTCCACTTCGAACGCATATCTGCGTTCCAGTGGCGTAGCCATAAGAGTCTACGAGAGGTGACATTAGAGGCCATGGCGCACGAAGCAAACTTCGCTGTGTTAAGGATGGCATCTGCAGAATATTCCACCACGGCTACAATTTTGTTTACGTTATGCCGCAGTCTGCGTACCCTGCCAGGAGCCTAGTGAGTAACTGGCGAAGCCAGGCAATCGTGGCCCTATTGAAGAATGAGGTGGAGGTGGCCGCTTTAATGGCCCAAGCTGCGGCTTGATGGGTTTTGTGACAAGCCCGTTCAGCTCTTTTGTCCTCCGCCTTAAGTCCCTCTAGAAGGTCCAGTGGGAGCACTAAAGTGGAAGTGAGAGCCTGAAATGGAGGATCAACGGAAGGGAGCTTAAGAAGCTCTTCCATGGTAGGATCCACTGAGTAAAAGTGTTTGTCATTACCGCCAGGGGTTGGACTACATCTTTAAAGAGTTTGAGAGAAGGGACGATTTCCTGAGCGGGGACCTTCTCATCGAACAGGCATTTACTGTGATCTGCAGGTGCCTGATCTGGAGGCATCGCCACCTCCATGTGGGTGGACATCTTGGCCTTGAACAGGATTGATTTGAACAGGGATGGTTGAAACAATCAAGCAAAGGCTGGTTTATCTGGAATGGGGTTCTCATCATCCGATAAGCCATGACACCCCCACATCTCATCGTCCCAAACCGATTCAGCACTGGCCACTGATGGGGGCAGAGATGAAGGCCTGTGGGGGTACTGTCACTCTCCAGGGCCCTGAGGGGGCTGCGGAGCTAGAGGGGCCTGAGGCACTGGAGCGGCCTGAGCAATGGGAGGAGCTGGCTGTGGAACCTGTGGTTGTGCCTCGCACTTTTGCTGTAGCAATCACCTGCCTCATTTCTGCTGAGAGGCCTGGGCCCAGGTCTTCTACTGGGTGGGTCCCACACTCACAGGCTTGAAATTGGGATCCCTGGCTAGAGGAACAGGAAGAGAGGAACCCTCCCTATCAGAAAGTAGGTCGCACTCAAATAGGTCCGCACCCCCCCAGGGAGGGGGACCTGGACCCCCTGGAGAAACCTCTTTGAAAAAAACTCCACACTCAGAGATAGCGGGAGGAAGAGAGGGGACCCCAACTGGATCCTGACCGATAGGGCTTCCTAGCTGATCTGACTGGTAGACTTGTGCCACAATCTGCCTTTGGGCCTTTGCGAATTCTTTCTCCAGGGCCTTCTGGTGTCTGGAAGCATCCTTTTCCTGTGCCTTAGATTGCTGCCTGGAATAAGGCTTGCTGCTCTTGGTCCCCCCAATGGCTTCCCTTGCAGCCCTGCCCACCTTCCTGAGATAGGGCCCCGTCGGATTGGGGGACTGGCCTGTTGGAAAGGGGTCCATGGAGATCTCATCCGCCATGGTGGTAGTCAGTTTCTGCAGTGGTCAGGCAGAGATCTGGCAAGTAGAGTGACTGCTGGTAATTAGCTGGGAAGCAGGGCAAGCGTGGAAGATTGTGAAGGAGTGCACCGGAGATCGAAAGGCTAGATGTGGAGGTTGGCCTCGGCCAGAGAAACCTCTGAAATAGCCCAAAATTCTCGCCGCTTCAAGAGAGGGCTCTGATCGCCGTCCTGACTCTCTCCAGTCGCCACTGAGAAAACGTGGCAATTGCACAAACGGTGGGAAACTTTGCCACTCGAAAATGGCCATGGTAAGGGAGCGGCACCCAGGGAAGCACCATGTTGCCTCCGCTGTAGAGGGGAAAGCCAGATGTTGCTCCGCTCCAAAACTCACCTGAAGAATTCAGCGTCTCGCCACACGGATTGCCTGACAGACAAACCCCAGCGGTAGAGAGCCAGCCGGCTAGCAGCTCCCAGTGCCCAGATTACTCTGGGACGCCTGGAGAGCTGAGCCTCTCTGTCGTGATGCAGAGAGGCGAAGGAATTTAATGTTGCTAGAAGGAAAAAAAATGTCTAGGCAAGGAACAAATAAGGAATAAAAGGGAACCGAATGCTTGTAAAGGATACAGGTAAGAAAAAGAAGAAAAGTCTCAGGAGTGACTAAGAAGACGTCCTAATGGGCAATGGACTGAATTGAAAAACTGAAGATACCGGAAGACCAGGAGGCGTGGTCAAGAATTTCAATCCAGTCCATTGGGCAGAAGGACAGAATTTAACTCTTGCTTGCTTGGACTCTCCAAGCAGCACACGGGAAAATTGAGATTTTTTTTAAATCTAAAAAGTGTGGTCCTAATTCCTACCTTCATTATTGGTGGCATCTTCTGTCACTGAGGTTGTACTGCTAGCTCCTGCTGCCATGTCCAGAAGTGGCTGAATTATTTCTATTTTAAACACACCATTTTTCTGCCATAGGTTGAGGACACGAACTATCTTACTCTGTTCAACAAGAAATTAGGTCAGTTTACTTTTTTTTTCAATTTAATCTTTTTTAAGCACTACTCAGAAAATACTCTCCTGCTGCACACTTAACTTTCATGTACTATGAAACAAGGAACATGTTTTGAGCTTATGCACTTCCTTCCCATTATTCAAAGAAATGTAAGATATTCCAATCTGAGTATCTTTTATTCTGAGAAAGGAGTAAATGCATTGAGCTGCAATACAATATCAGTCTCTCATTGGAGATGGAAGAGGGAAAGTGTCATCTAATCATCTAGCCTTTACATGTGAAAAAAAGATCAGGAAGAGGGCAAACTATCTAAAAGCATGAGTAACTAGGAACAGAGACAACATTACATAAAAATCAACTCAAACTCCAACATGTCTCAAAGCCTTATTTGGAATATATTATTCTAAACTTGTCAAAATCTATTTTACCACAGAATATTTAGAAATCAGATTTTTAAAAATTATATACAACAGAATTCTGAGTTACATGACAGATAATGGAATCCACCCCCACCCCCAAAATGTTCACTCAGGCATAGCCAGTTTACTATCACTAGAATCTGCTTCTTGATCAAGGGTTCCAGATTTTTTTAACTTACAAATTACATAGGCTGAGAACATTTGAAAATCCCTGTTCTAAATCCCTGATCATATCAAGTGTTGCAGTAATATTATTTCAAATACAATAAAATCCAAATTATAGGACTATCTACATTAGAAAATAGGATTATGCAGCAATGTGGATCCAAAGAGTAAAAAACTGGTTCAGAATGTAAGCAGGTGCTTATATAGCAATTGTTAACAAATGCTCAAAGCTAATGTAATAGTACCAATAATTGCTGTACATGTGTCCATGCAATTCCAATCATTTTGCACTCCCATTGAAAAGTTCTTCCAATCAAAGTAATGAGGAAAAAGTGCCTCACAAAATTGAAAGCAAAGTAAAAGCAACATTCAACTTAAAGGCCTTATTCAAAACCAGAGTCCTATTTAACAATCATTGAGTCTCTATCCTAAACAAATGCTCATGTACAGGTTATAAATTAATGAATATAAACAAAGCTAAAAACAACAACTCTACCTTATCTTCTGATGGACAGAGATATAAATACTGGAATGTGGCAGTTATATTCTTACAGAATCTTGGCCC